TGGCTATTGAAACCTGACGGTGCCCGTTCATTTACAGCGCACAGGGGCCTGCTCTGTTTAATCTGAAGGCCCCGAGCAAGTTTAATTAACCTGGCAACACAAGCTAGATGAAATATGATTGGTTAAAAACTCTACCATAATAAATAAGTTATTTTTCGAGTGGCGTTCAATGTTATTTAAAATAACATTGAAAGCCACTCAACTAATTGGAAATAATATGACGTAAAGAATACAGAGAATAATTTTGTTAACATATTTATGAAAATAAAATAACAAATTTATGTTATTCTCAGAAAAGTAAATTTACTTTTCTGAGAATGTTTAGGCCAGCAGAGAAGGCCTTGCTGGCCCTCAGGGTCCGCCACTGGCGTTGAAGGTAAAAATTATAACCATTAACTAATTGTGAAGTCAATCATGTTTTTTTCACTTTTTTTAGCAGAGTAGACACACTTTTATATGGTAAGACAAAACTACAGTATAAAATAGATGGTACCCTTAAACACCTCATTCTTTTTAGTGTACTGGAACACAGCCTGGTTTGAGGTGACAGTCTTATTTCATCCAAACGAGCCTTTAATTAATCTGCTCAACTATGGAGCCAAATGTGTAGTAGGCTGTTGTTACCGTGACGACCAAAAGCAAACCAGTGCCTGCAAGTGCGGGCCCAGCCCTCCTAATGAGAGCTCATTGGAAACGGCTGGAACCGTGACACTTTGTGTGGCTTCCTTCGAAACACAGTCACTTGAACTTTTCATTTTCTTGGGAGCCATACAGCAAAAAACAGTGATACCTGAATTACATCATGTATGGAGGAAAGAAAATTTACCGGTACACGGTGAGAAAGCATTACTGGAGCGTTCTGTGTGGATACTGTGAATGTTCACAAACTGAAGTTTAGTTTGTGAACCAGGCTATATTTGTTCACAAAGAGGGGCTTCGTGAACTCAAGTTCCTCTGCATATCACAAAATAGCAAAAAGCTATCAAAATCCAGCTCTGCTGACATTTTGACTTTGACCTGGTAGTGTTTCAGACAAATAGTGCTGTGGCTTAAAAGTGGCGCTTCTTTTCCCAGCCTAGCTACTCATGGCCAGAGAAACTCTGAGTCGACTTGGTTATTATGTAGATTGTCCTCACCGTTGCATCACAAAAACTCTACCATAATAAATAAGTTATTTTTCGAGTGGCTTTCAATGTTATTTAAAATAACATTGAAAGCCACTCAACTAAGTGGAAATAATATGACGTAAAGAATACAGAGAATAATTTTGTTAACATATTTATGAAAATAAAATAACAAATTTATGTTATTCTCAGAAAAGTAAATTTACTTTTCTGAGAATGTTTAGGCCAGCAGAGAAGGCCTTGCTGGCCCTCAGGGTCCGCCACTGGCGTTGAAGGTAAAAATTATAACCATTAACTAATTGTGAAGTCAATCATGTTTTTTTCACTTTTTTTAGCAGAGTAGACACACTTTTATATGGTAAGACAAAACTACAGTATAAAATAGATGGTACCCTTAAACACCTCATTCTTTTTAGTGTACTGGAACACAGCCTGGTTTGAGGTGACAGTCTTATTTCATCCAAACGAGCCTTTAATTAATCTGCTCAACTATGGAGCCAAATGTGTAGTAGGCTGTTGTTACCGTGACGACCAAAAGCAAACCAGTGCCTGCAAGTGCGGGCCCAGCCCTCCTAATGAGAGCTCATTGGAAACGGCTGGAACCGTGACACTTTGTGTGGCTTCCTTCGAAACACAGTCACTTGAACTTTTCATTTTCTTGGGAGCCATACAGCAAAAAACAGTGATACCTGAATTACATCATGTATGGAGGAAAGAAAATTTACCGGTACACGGTGAGAAAGCATTACTGGAGCGTTCTGTGTGGATACTGTGAATGTTCACAAACTGAAGTTTAGTTTGTGAACCAGGCTATATTTGTTCACAAAGAGGGGCTTCGTGAACTCAAGTTCCTCTGCATATCACAAAATAGCAAAAAGCTATCAAAATCCAGCTCTGCTGACATTTTGACTTTGACCTGGTAGTGTTTCAGACAAATAGTGCTGTGGCTTAAAAGTGGCGCTTCTTTTCCCAGCCTAGCTACTCATGGCCAGAGAAACTCTGAGTCGACTTGGTTATTATGTAGATTGTCCTCACCGTTGCATCACAGTGCACCAGCATTGATACATTTGTAAAAATGGGCTCATAAACTCAGATATACGTGTTTCACATGTCACAGTTCACTGCTTGTGGTTCACTCAAGAGACCCAACTCTTTGTACACAAGCAACAAAAAGTCAATCTTCCATAAAATGTCCCCTTGTAAATCACCTTTGAGGTAACGCTATAAATGGGTTTCATCTGACATCCCTCTCAAAAGCAGCTCAACCCGTGATATATTGATCAATTCATAGGAGGTGATTTCCAAGACTTTGGTCTATGACTTGGAATCGTCATTTTTGTTATTTTTGGGGGGTTTGAATTAATTTATATGCCCTACTCCAATTTGAAATTATTACTACAAAAACAGTTTTTTCACACCGTGGTCTTCCCAACTTCACACATACCAGCAAATTAAAGGCAGAACTCACTTGCCATAATGAAATCCAAAGCAGCTGTCTCAGTCGAAATATTTCATTTTGCTCATGTGGGCGTGACTTTTGCCGTGTGTTTGGCAGATCTGATTACTCGTCCCATGCACCAGCCCTCTGTACACTCAGCATGGGGCAGGTGGAAGATAAATGCATGGTCAGCGAAAGTTGTGTTTATCATCAGCCACAATATTCAATATTGTTCCCTGAAGGAATGTGCTTCTTTGCATGAACTTCAAGCGACCACTGAAAAATAGGAGCATACTGAAGGCACAGATTAAAATGGGTCAGTTACACGTTGAAGAAGCACACATCGTGTTGCAAATAAACTGAAAGCAACTGGTATGTAGCTGACCTGAACAAATGGGCTCACAAGCTAAGCCCAGTTAGGAAGTGCGGCGCGGTGAAATGATAGTTGGCACTAGTGCAGCTGTTTCTTCAAACCAAACATGACATCATTCGTCAAACATGATGCTTGCCGTGCCAAAGGAAATACGTATTTCACATCTGTAGTGACCTAATCTGCAGCATATGAGCTGCAATAATATTGAGTCGTGCTCTCTAAAAGGAAGCTGAAGAGCAAAGGAAGAAAGTGTCGTGATCCTGGAGAGGGTTCATCGGGTGAGACATTGTAGAAAGCAGATCAATGTGCTCAGAGGGCGTTCACACTCCTTTGAGTTTGGCAAGAATCCTGACAACCATTCACCTCTTTTATCACATGCATACTTCAAGTTCAAGTGTTTGGCAGTGCGTGACAGGAGTTCAAGGTGTGGACAGACAACAGGAAAGGCAATGCAAGGTTGTCCTTTTTGACTTGACCTCCACTGGTCCACTGTTTTTCTTGTGACCACTGCCCCAGTTTCCCAGTCACCAAACACCCTGACCCCGTGACCCTGACAGAGACAGTCCGTTCCCTTCTCTCTGCATGTGTCACTGTGCTAATTACCTCCGGTCTGGCCACTGAGGATGGGGAGATTCAAATTTCCATTCCTGAGCCTTCATTCGTGTCCAGAATTAGAATTCAGAAAACACAGAGAGATTCTCGTCACACGGGCAGACGGCCGCACACAACACAGCCGTGCATACACAAAGTCAGACGGGAAAACGTGTTTAGGCCTCTTTAAAGCAAAGCCAAGCTGTGTGGTGGACTTGATGGAGGAAAGCGGGCTCCTGTGGCTGAAATTCCTGTGAGGAGGGAGGAGGAAAATCTAATTGTTTTTAATTGCACTTGCTATGCAGTCACATTAAGGATTTGTTTTTGTTGGTGAAGGCGCCCTCTTTAAAGTGGAACCCCCTTTGGTGAGTCTACGCATTCATTTCCCTTCTGGTCTACGTTTTATACCGAATGATGCGTGTGTGCATGCAGTGAAGCCCTCGAAAGGAAACAGCAGACAAGTGAGCCTACGGACTCAGCCAGTCACGTTTCCCATAGAGAATAAAAGCACATACAGAATGCAGGCGTTCGGCACCACCAGCCTGTCCTCAGCTTGCTGCAAAGCGGCTGTGGAATCTTGACATCTCTCTCGCAAACATGTGCCTCCTGTCTTCTCCAACTTTTCTCCCCCTCCACTCCCACCTCTCTCCATCACCCCTGCTAGGAAACAATTACAAAACTGTTTCAGCGCCTGTGTGGGCGGTTTCTTTTGAGCCCTGCCCTAAGGATCTGACGCTCGGTCTTCCATCCAGTTTCAGTCGCCCCAAACAACTCTCCCCTCCTTGCTGACCTTGTGATGTTTTTTTCTCGTCTAGATAACTCCCAGCTCAGCCCAGATCAGGGTGCAGGTATCCCAGAGCAGTTTACTGGACTTCTGCACGGATCGTCTCCAGTGTTTGATTGCCGTGAGGAGCCGTTCAGGATTCCAGGTGTCTCGCCACCTGGTCAGAGCCAGTCGCAGTCAAGAGGCAAAGTGAAAGAGCAAGCCGTTTCAAGCCCACCTAGCCGTCCCAGTATGGCTGCCATCCTAACAGACTGTGATCCAAAGGCCATTTATGCAACTGTGAACAAGGAGCCCAGGGACTCTGGAGCAGTGTCTGGTAGGATGCGTCCTCCCGGGGACCTGAAGCTGGCCCGCAGCCTCTCCAAGTCGGACTCAGATTTGCTTGTGTCGCCTCCGAGTGAGGAAGACGGAGGACTGGGCAACCGAAGTGAATCTGTTTCTAACTGTAGCAGCGGGAAGAAAAGGCTTGAGAAATCGCCGTCATTCACCTCAGAATGGGATGAGGTAAGTTAAATGTTCTATTGTGAGTATTGACATTAAAAAAAGCTAATCCAAAAGTATCAATCAACTGCCTTGAACAAATGTAACATTTTGAAAATGCTGGCTGAATGCAGTGACGCTGAATTTGATCAACTGTGAAAGCAGAGAATGCTAACCATTAACATTTGTACATTTGAGACAGTGAGTGGCTACTATCATTTCACTCATTCGGGGGAAAGTATCAGACGTGTTATAAAAGTGTAGCAAAGAACACCCAGATCCCCCCCCCTCCCCCCATGTATAAAGCTTCTCTTATTTTACCAGGTTGCCCTGAAGATATTTTACAGCCTTACCGCATTAAGCCATAACCATAGTATTGTATGGTCATGTAATGTTTCCTTAGTTTTAATACAACTTTGAATTTATATTTCTTTACACTGACATTTTTCTAGGGTGTTGTTAACAGGGTGTTGCTTTCTATTCAGAGCCAAACACAGCCCTTCCCTCCAATAGCATGTTGATGTTCAGTCTGTGCTGGAGGAGATTAGACAGAACAAGGATACGTGAATAAACCCGGAGAGAAGATGAGAAACTAAGACGACAGACGGAGATTTGTAAATTAAGATTCCAAAAGGAGAGAAAGGGCATATCTTCCTTCAGCTACGCTCACTTCTATTTGCATATGCTTCCCGCTGCAGAGAAGACCATTCAAGCAATGCCAACACACCGCAGTTGACATTGAACGTGCCATTCTCAAAGCTGTTCCAAAATCTTAAAAATACAGTTTTGGTACTTCAGCTCACGTAGAACATAAACATGTATCCGTACGGGCTCTCTTTTTTTTCCATCTGATGTAACAATGTTGCATTTGTCAACATGCTTTATATGATTTTCTCTGCGTGCCAATGAAGTGTTAGCTCAAACTGTTGTAATCCCAAAAGTGCTCTTGTTTGAGCTCTTTGTTGAAATCCTGTCACAATGTCGAGGCGCCAGAGCATACGTTGTGCTTCCGGTGTCAAATTCAGTGAACATTTTGACATAATTAGATTTTTTACTGCATATCAAACGGTTTTTTAGCAACTTGCGTAAGATTTGGCCTCAGTCCATGGATCCTTTGAAGTTTCTTCTTGTCACACTTTCAGTAATGTTCTGCAAATGCATGAGGATTTTCAGTTTCGGTGGATGTTATCCAAGGAAGGACCCTACCGGTATTTATTCTGAATGGAGTGCGCCACACGATGTTTAAGTTAGTTTTGGTCAAATGTTAAATCAGTACAGTTCTTTGTTGAATCGTATCGAACAGTTTCCATTGCAAGTCTGTGGGGTCAAAGGTGTGATCACTAAATGTTATTTGCCTGGTTGTCTTTTTTTAGCCAAGCTATTATTTTCCTCACTGCTAATTAGTGACTGCTTCACAGAGGAAAGTACACTGCCAGACTCGCATTGTCAAGGTTTCTGACACTATCCTAATTATTCATTGAAGAGTTTTCTATTAGCTTTTTTAATTATTTTTTTTTTAACCTTTTCATCCAGGAAAGTGTTTGGAAAATGAAAAAAATGGAGTGGACAAACACGGCTGTGTCTTGTCGCTTTCTGTCCGAAGTTGAAACCCCTTGTGTCCTTGAAGGATTGGTCAGCCGATTAACCACAAATGTATCACCCTGAAGTTTGGTAAAATGAATTAGTGAGATTAAAGAGATACATTCTTGGCAATCCCATTGGCAAAATCATATTATCCTCCAAATAACATTTCAATCCAATGATGATAAAATATTATTTATTATTTCTTGGCAACCAAAACTGAGATTGTTCTGAAATAGGAAACATTTTACCTGCCCAATTCTTAAGGGCATATGCCAGTGAGCTAAAACGTTCCTGCAGCAGTGCTTCTCCTTGATCAGAAACGCCCATTCCAAAATCAGCCTTTGGTTAGGTTGGAACAGCTAATTGAGTGTTGGTTGTAGTTGAAGTTTAAATGACTGTAACACAGCCTGCATCTTCCTCAGTATAAGACACAATGAAAATACTCCCCCAAATTGTTTCCTAGTTTACGCAGTGTCTTTTTAAACTAATTTGCTAAAATACACATTCTGACACACACTCTGTTTCCCCATCTTTCCCACACCTACAACTCCCCCCACCATCACATCTTTTTTTTTTTTTTTTGCTTTGGCGCTATACACTTATGCATTCTCTGGTTGAAAGACACGCATATTTGACTTGCATGAGGTCTTGGCCTATCTCAGGCGCTCCGAAAGAGTGTGCGCTGGTATGTAACGTGCATGCTAATATGGGCTCGGATAGGTCAATGGGATCGGATTTTAAGATGACAATCCGGAAAAGACACAATGTGAAGTGTACAGACAGGACTAGAGAAAGGAAGGCTGAGGAAGAGGGGCACTTCTTTTCTGCACCCCCATCGTCACTTTTGAATGTCACTCGTAAGACCCTGATATATGAAGCCTGCTTTTGTGAGTATTGATTTCGTGCTGGAGGTTCATTTTTCTAAGTCGATGCTGCAGTATTTTGTGCAAAACTAGTTTGTTTGATATTGTTTCGATTGGAGCTTCGTGTTGGGCCAATGCAAGTCGTAGATCTTTGCTCTCAAAAAGAATTCTTACGCAAGAATAATTCTTTGGATTCCAAAGGATCTAAAATCCTTTTGCTTAAAACTTTTTATGCGTACTACATTTTGATTTCCAAAATTATTGACACCCCAAACACGGTGCTGTAACCTACCCCTGCCTTCTCTGACCTAAAAAATAAAGAAATAATTGATCTAATAAGAATTAATTAAATTGAGTACGGTAATGTATTTTCTTTTCAAAAAGGAATGTGGGAAATGAGGCAAGACAAATAAAACAGGCAAGTCTTTCAATGAATGTCTTTCACTTTTGAATTATCTAAACATTGAATTTGGTGCTGAAGAGATTTACAAACTCATGGGAAATATATATATATATATATATATAAACACACTGTAGAAAGCTTAAACCTACCATATTTTGACTAAAAATGCCAATTGACTAATGTTTGTTTTCCGAGCATAGTTTGTGTATGCTAGCCTTAGTGTTGAGCCAAACTATATCGGGACCGAACTAACTGATTTTGGATGATTGACATGCCACCGACTGCTGTGTCTAGCTTCATTTGGACTGCAGACGGGACCTTGTTTCTAAAATAGTGAGCGTGACATTGGACTAGTTGATGGGATTGCTGGCAGTGCTTTGCCCCTCTGTGCCAGTGAGGTGCTGACACCCGCTTGCTCCTGCGATGCATTCATTCCCCTTGACAATGTCATTAGTTAGTCCACAGCTTGCACCCAAGCCCTCTGTTCCTGCCAACTTGCCGATTTGAGGCTATCTGGTGAGGGCATTCTATCTCGGACACAACCTTTTTTCACCCGGAAAAGCCCCCTTGCCTTGAAACTCACCTATTGCTTGTTGTGTGCCTGAATCTCAGCTTTCTGTGTCGTTTGAGTCTATTAATAAGCAACAAAGTAGCAGCTAAATTATGCTGTGCAGTCATCCTAACAGCAGTCCTACTGCGAAAAGCTTGATGAATGCGTTTCCTTCTCTTTAATCCCAAGCTCGCCGTCCCTTGCCGCGGCGGGCTTTTCAGCTGTTGACCTCTACCTCACCAGTGACTTTTGCCCCCACCCATTGTATGTCCTTGTTCATAGGCAGACTTTCCCCCAATGCACCCCTCTCTCATTTCAACAAGTCTTAGTGCAGCACAAAAACACATTGGCCACCCTTGCCTCTCCTTTCTGTTGAAGTTCAAGGGCTTTTTTTTTTGCACAGTGTTCTATATGTACGGTTTTATTCACGCCATCTGCGGAAAGGATTGTTGTTAAGACTTGGTACACCTGAGTGTAGGTATGTATGGGAAGGATAAAAAAACAGTGTGGAATCTCTCTCAGCAGAAACTGATGTCTTCTCCCAGCACAAAACCACCAGGATCTAATTCCTATGACAGCGTAAGATGGCGATCCTTTTTCATATTTTATGGTCCTCTTGGTATCTGGTCCTGTCTTCTGCAGAGGAATTGTTTTGTGGGACTTTGATCGGTTTCTTTAACAAATTCATGAATGTGTTTGGAATTACGATAATTGATTTTATTTTCCTATAATATTTTGCATTACATCTTTCCCTTTCCTCCTCTGGACTTTCCAAATGACTTGGTTTATTTTTAAGTACAAATTTTAAGTTATTCTATATGCAATTTAGTGTCGTGAAAGATTGAGAAAATTCCATCGTGTATTTTAGTGATTTCTTTTGGAATATTTATCGTACTCAATTTGATGTGACTGAGTGATTTCCAAATCAGAAAGCTGTCTCCCTTCTGTTTTTGCAAAAATTTACACAGTTCGCTCTCTTTTAACAGAGGAGCAAAGGAGAGGGAACGGGGTGGGCGGGGGTCTCAAAATAGTTGCTAATTTATTAAATAGTAAACAAGTGTCACTTACTGAAGCTCTTAGCACCGTTGGATCGTGATCGTGCTTGACGACCGGAAGAGTTCACATGCATCATGTAGCGATGCATGGACACACTGCAAGGGCTTATGCTGGTCCAGGGTTTCTCTTTTCTGCAATTGTTTTTCCTGTTTTGAGAACATCTGTGCCTTTTTAAAATAACGTCATTATTATGAGTCCTACAATGGACACACAGCATCTTCTCACCAGAAAGAACACCACAGTCAAGGTGATAAAAGCAGTCTTCTCCCCAAAAATGCACAGGCTCTTTTTTTTTTTTTTTTTTTTTTTTTTAATCCATTTATTTATTTATTTACTTATTTTTTTTAGGCATGTGGGTATCTTGTTGACATTTCTGGTGGATGGTGGAGGAGAAAACCGCGATAGATCCTCCAGGTACTGATGTCTCTCATGCGCTTGTGTCCTCAGATAGAGAAGATCATGACGCTAATTGGTGCTGGCATTGACTTTTCCAGAGATCAGCAATACGCTACGCCAGGTACAGTACAACCATGACTCCAAACCTATTGCAGCTATTTGTAAGATTACAATTTTCTTTCAATGGTTGTATATTTTGAAAATACATTTTATTTGCATTGGTAGATGAATAAATTTGAGTGCATCTCTACAAGTTTTGTTGGTACAAAGAAGTACAGTTGAGCTGTACATTCAATTTTCGTATGGTGTAAAATTCGCTGATGTGGAGCGCAAAGTCAAATTTTTGCTAGCAACTTGAAGCAAACCCCCCCCCCAAAAAAAAACAGAACAATGGCTTGTATCTTGAAAAATGTAAAGGTACCACTGTATGCAAATACCGTATTTTCACGACCATTCGGCGCACCGTATTGTTGGGTGCAGTCTCAATAACGGGTGCTATTTCTGTATTTGACACATACACAAAACGCACTGTATTATTGGGCGCAGCCAGGCATGGTAAAACATACACCAGCTTAAACATACGGCATGCATGCACGCACGCTAAAAACACGTTAGCTTGAAGCATATGGTAGCATGCATGCACGCTAAAACATACCAGGTATGTTAGCTTAAAGCATACGGTAGCAGCTAAGACATATGGACACACGCTAAAAACACGTTTTTAAAAAGGCAACGGAAGCAAAACTGAGTTCGGTGTACTTTATTTAGCCATTTTACAATGTACTCATGCGACTGGTACCTGCTAGGAGCGTGCCTTTAGCGTCCTCTTACACGCCTACCCTTCACTCATGGGCGACTGGTACCTGCTAGGGGCGTGCCTTTAGCGTCCTCTTACACTCCCACTCTTCACTCATTGGCGACTGGTACCTGCTCGAGACGTACCTTTAGCGTCCTCTTACACGCCCACCCTTCACTCATTGGCGGACTTCCGCATGCCTGTCGTCACTCACGTCCACCTTTTCTCTATATAAACAGCGTGTCGGCCAGAAGTGCTCTCAGTCAGGCTTTGGAACTCGGCGCATACACTAGACGCTCCGCATTATAAGGCGTCCTGTCCATTTTGGAGAAAATTTAAGACTTTTAATGGCGCCTTATAGTCGTGAAAATACGGTAATTCAAATGCAGTTAATTGGCAGTCAAGTTGGCATAACTTTAGGAAGAGGATAGCAATCCTGCGGTTTACAGCTTCATCAGGTCTGCCAGAGCCCTCCCTACAAATAACCTTATTTTACGCACTATATGGCGCACCTAAAAGCAGTCAATTTTCTCAAAAGTCGAAAATGCGCCTTATAATCCGATGCACCTTATATATGGATCAATATTTTGATTTCTTGGACGTAGTATTTTACATGTTCTATAAATAGCCTTGTTACAGCTGCAGTGGTTGTGAAAGCTCTATATAAAGGAAGCTGTCTTGTATTCCATTTCGCGTAGTTCTATCTAGTGCAGTGGTTCTTAACCTTGTTTGAGGTTCCCAACGCAACCAGTTCATATGCACATTCACCGAACTCTTCATTCGTGAATAATAGAAATCAGATTTTTTTTTTTTTTTAACAAATTCAAGACATAAAAACACATTTAGCCGAGGGGGCTTGTCGAATGTTCAGTGGGAGGTCATTCCAGAGAGAGGGACCAGCAACGGAAAAGGCTTGATCCCCTCTGAGCCTCAGTTTAGTTCTTGGTACTTCTAATAATGTCTGGTCCGCAGACCTGAGGCGCCGGGTAGGTGTGTAGGGGCGGTTGAGCTCTTCTATTCTCTGCGCCTTATGATGTAGTCCACCCTATATATGAAAACAGTTTTAAAATAAGCCATTCATTGAAGGTGCACCTTATAGGACGGAAAATACGGTATATTGACCAAAACAAATACTGTACTCTCCAGCCTATTACCAGTATGTCATTCTAGACCTCCTGTTTGTCATGCCACGTACAGGAGTGAGCTGTTTAAATATTAACCATTACGTATGTCAGGGGATGAGCTCATCTTTCTTTGTAGGCTCGAGGAAAGATGAGAGCACTGCAGTCAGTCAGTCGGCGCCACGTCTCTCTCTTGCTCACCTACTCTCTTCACTCTGCTATGTGCTCAAGTCTCAAGCTTCTATCTGAGTATCCCAGCTTTTACCAGAGCAGAAGGTGCTCTCGGATGGATTTTGACCAGGTTTGCGTCCCTTTGGCTTTGTCTGGGGAACTCTGGTGTTTGATTGGCCCCATGCCACATCAAGTGATTTCTGTCAGGGTGAAAAGGGTGTTGTGTGAAATAGCCCAGAATGAGAAGAAGTCAAACTTAATAATAATGAGGGTGTCCGGGGTCTCTAAAAGGAGGTGGTTGCTCCCATCTACACAAACATCACCACCTGCAGGCTTTAAGAAGCAAGGCTAAGATTGGAAGAGTAACATTCAAGGAGTGTGAGCGAAAGAGAGAGAGAGAGAGAGAGAGAGAGAGAGAGAGAGAGAGAGAGAGAGATGATCTGGAGGGAAGGGAGACATCACATGCAGCCACCAGGAAAGAAGACAGACGCTACCTCAACACCACTTCCATTAGCTGAGCAGAGACGGGAGGAGTCCCGTGTAAATTAGCTGAATTAGCAAATTCTCTCCCATGAGATTGCCTTCGTATTTCCTGCTTTTACTGATGTCCAAGTGACTAACTCTACCTTTGACTGGATGAGTCTTGTTTGTTTCTGAGCATTTGCATTGATGGATTTATTTGATGACGTTCAAGTATTATCACGAGCGGGCTTGGATTTATACAAGGAAGAAGGACAAATTTAAGCTGTAAATGTGACTTTTTCCATTTAATACTTAAGGTACCCAAAATTTCAATCTGTTCATAGGAGGATGACTGACATACTGTAATCTCATTTAAGGCTAATATGTCCTAATCTGTCCAACCTCATCCAGGTGATAGGCTAAGATTTCACTACCTAATGTGATCGCCACGCTGTGATGAGTGACGGGTTTTAAGCTGAGCAAGGTTGATCTTTGTCAGTCATGAATGAGCATTATTGGCAGTTTGCTTTCTCCTGCTCCTGAACCTTCCCGAGTGATGAACCAAAAACTTAGGACATGAATTTTTTATCATGTCCCAGAATCTGTATCATAGCAACAACTAATTCAGTGGTAGTCAAAAAGATCTCAGCAAGTTCACAATCGTCTTTGCCCATGAGAACGGGAGTACTTGGGTGCGTCTTTGGAAACTGTGGTTCAGTCGCCGCCGCCCCACAGGAGCTGGCCCCCTGCCCGCAGCAGACACTGTCTCTTTCATCATCCTGCTGCCGGTGTGCTCGGAACTGCTGGCCAAAGATGATGTGGTTATGTCACATCTCATCCTCAATATGCCGCTGTTACCGGCTGAATGGTTTCTCGCTCCTGAGGCGTGTCCCACTGTCGACAGGTGCCTGTGTCCGACTGCTGCAGCAGCCTGTTGGAGACTGGCTGGAGCTGGTGGGATTGCCTCAGTACGAAAGCAAGCTGCTCCTCAACGGTTTCGATGACCTTCACTACATGGTGAGTGCCTGTTGTCCTTGGAAAGTCTCATTTCATATTGAACTTTGTTTTTGGGCCCTGGCACCCTGTCAACACAGTTACATTGCCGTTCATTCGCTTCAAGTTCAAACTGAATCCCAATGCTGTCCTCTACATCGTGATGTATCATTTTCTTGCGGCTGCACAGGTCATTGTCTTGTCTGTTATATGAATTTGATGACTCAGAGAGGATTTTGTTCAGTGAGTGATCTCAATTAAGTGGCATATGAATTTTGACAGTGACAGAGAAAGAAAATGCTTAACAGGGTAGCTGGCAGGCAGAGCATTGAAAACATCAAATATGAGTGAAAGTTAGGGAGTAACCTGTGCAATCGACCTGGATCAGTTTCATCAAAACACTTTTTCAACGGAATGGATTTGTGTTAGCGCAGCACACGTTATGCAAATAATAACTGACACACTATTTTTGCTGTAAATCAAAATGTCATACTATATTTACTCGAAGAGTGGCTGTCAGGGTTGGGGAAGGATGTGAAGTTTGTGTGCTTTAGTTGTCTACTTTCACTCTGATGTGTACATTAAGATTTGCATTCATTTCTTTTTAATCCTCTTTCCTTTTGAATTCCGTCAAAGTCTTCCTCCCTTTGATGTTATTAACAGCAAGCACTACTTCAAAGTTACTCTTCGTTGAATGTTTTTAATGCTCCTCAGCACTAATTCCCTGTTGGAATCTGTAGATTAAAACATACATTTCAATACTCATGGATTGTTGATGATTTAGAAAGTAAGCCGAAGTAATCAAGAGATATAGTTGCTTAAATTGTCCCATTGGGGTTTAATGATTTGAAGGAGGCCCTGCGATTGGCTGGCAATCGGTTCAGGGTGTTCAGTGCTTACCGGCCGAAATCGGCTGGGATATGCTCAAGCACGCCCGCGATCCTCGTCAGGATAAACTTTTTGTATGGACGGATGAATTGAGTGAACACATTTTTTTTTTATTGGCCCTCTAACCATAATTGTTTTGTTTTTTTGCTCACTCAACATGATCAGTATATATCTAATATACAGTACAGTATACCTCTACAACACTGACTTAAGGATTTAAACGACCTGATTGTTTTCTGCACAGAGAACATTTCTCTTCATAAAAGCATTTTTTTACTCTTTATGTGGAAAAAACGCTGTCTAGCTCTGATACAGTGGCTGCTATGGCAGGGTACAAGATGTTACGGCTAGTTACGCCCTTTTTTTACTTTCTGGGTACTTCAAAACCACACTCAGAGCTCCCATCAAAGGATCTGATTCGTCAAGTAACAAAAACTCACTTGAATGATCTTAAAATTACCTACAAAAAAAATAAAAAATCTACAATGGTTTAGAAACGGATTGTTGCTGTCAGTGTGCAGCAAGATTCCGAATTCATGTACAGTAAATATTCCCATCCCCGGAATTCTATGAAAAGGAATATCCTTCACCCGGAACAAAAGCCTGTGCATTAACATTTTGACTACGATATTACATGTTACCGGAACTTACGTAAGCGGAAATTCCACTACCCGTAACCCGGATTGAGACGTCATGCCGTGGGAGCTTAAATACACGCAACGCCCACCCGATGCTACGGAACGACGACACAGAGACACATTTTCACTTCGCGTTTTTCGATTATCAGATTCGAAACGATGACGTGTAAGTGAGTTTTTATTGGCGTGCGTTTTACTGTAATTGTGAATGATTTTAACTTTATTCACTTAACATCCTGTAGAACGCGGCACTAGCTTAAAAGCAGCACCCACTCGACACGACCGAACAGACATGTTCGCTTCGCCGTTTACATCAT